GCCAAAAATTCAATGCGATGCGATTTTTGTCTTTTTGTTTATAATATTATATAATAATGGAGTAATCGGAATGCCCAACGAGATGATTTGTAGAGAATAGAAATGTCTACAAAATGAGGGGTTTAATTAAAACAGTAAAACCTGAAGTAGTAAATAAATTTCCATGAACAGTTTACAATATACACTTTAGTAGTTATTTTTCCAATATTCCTTGCCAGAGTCCTTACATACAGTTGCTGTGTGAACAGTAATATAAATTAATACTTGCGACGGATCATGTGCATTATTAATAATTAAGTTTGTTTTCTATCAGTAAAATTCTGTAAGCCCAATCAAAATATTTAAATATCTACAGCTTACTGTAGATAATTGTCCATTAAAAACCGAATGTATCACTGACGCAACCTAAAATGCGGACCGTTTTTCCTACCGACAATCGGATAGCAAATACCCATCGAATAGCGAGTAAAATAGGAACATGATGGGATACAAAAACGGAGACGGATCGGGCAGGTAGCGGAAAGATGTGAACTACGGCGTTGAAAGTCCAGCACAACAGACAGGTTTTTCCTCAATGGATTAGATAAGGAAAGAAAATCAATATTTTGGCATTAAATATAACAACGACAACATAGCCTTTGGGACAGCTCGCGCTCTCTGACAAGACGGCGGCACATAATAATAAAGAGAGAGCTTATTTAAGAAACATAGCAAAGAAAGAGTCCGAAAATAACGTATTTTTGGGACATTTTTTCACGCCTAGTTTCTTGTCTCTACTTGTCTCTGAGTCCAGTACCATTTTGCTCTCAGATCTTCGTCCGATTGTGTGATCGGAGTCGAATCGGATAGATGTGCCCCAGCCTTTAGAAGGTGTTTGTTATCAGATTAGGGATGTTTTGGAAGCAATGTCCCGAGATTGAGGAATGTCAGTCAAGCAACTGACAATCAACGACTAATTAATGCAAATGCAGGAAGGAAAGGAAAGTCTCAAACTATTATACATTTTGAGTGTTAAAAATGACTTCCAAATTTTACAAGTGCTGTGCGGGTCCTCTCTGCACACACACATCAATAACAGCACCTAATAAATTGTTTGTTTACGATCCAATCAATAAAATAGTGAGGGATAAATGGCTAAAGCTCGCAAGGCGAAAACCATCAGATATAAGCAGGAACAGTGGCGGCTCGTGGACTGATGTAGCGGGTGTTCTGCAAAAGAAGTTCACTGAAATGTCAAATCGTTCTCGAATACCTAATATATTTTTTCAATATTATGTAACAGTAAAGTCTAACTTAATCTATTTTTTATATAACAGTTCAATTCTTCGATCCTTTCTAGTTGCAAATTTGTCGATGACCATCACATTAAATTTGCCGATTTCAGAAATAAACGTCTTTACGATAGAAATCATCATGGATAGAGCCGATAAGCGATCTTCG